ATAATCAATATGTCCCAGTGAGAAATTAAGATACCGGAGAGTACTATTAAGATGCGCAACATTCCTGTCTTACACAAAGCCCTTATTATATGCATACTTTCCACAGTACTAAGTACTTAATTTTCAATGTGGGACACTAAGCGTAGTGTTATATATCATATCTGACGGTCCCTGTATGTGAAAATATAGGATTGCTTCGTTGATTAGCTTCAATTCTAAGTACTCTTTAAGTACTGCATTTTGACGTACTTGATGTCATTCTATCGTAGTAAATTTGACTGAGAAGTGCTTGTCTTATAACATACAAGTCTAAATAAGTTTTAGTTATGTAGTCTAGTGGTGGATGTTGCAGGTTTTCAGTTACTAGCTACTCAACACTCATTGAGTATGCCATAAGCACAAGCAGACATATGTTTTTTTTAAGATGTACATTTATCTCTGCATTGTTATTGTTTTTTCTACATGAAATATTCAAGCCTTTCTTATATAGCAGCTGATTTTTTTTAGTTTTTTTTTCTGTTTTTTTGGTTGTACGACATTCATGTTAAGAGTACACAGATGCACTGTCCCTTTCCAATAAGAACGAGGAAGTGATCCTAGTTGGAGCATTGCATGCACTTTCCGTTTCTTTGAATATTTATATTTTGATAAATTTCTCTTACTTACCAAGTGTATTCTCCGTCTGTAGGAAATATTACCAGCAAGATTTTGACACGACACTCGCTTTCTGTAATCATGAAAGAAGACAAAGAAATGAGGTGATTTTGTCCTCCTGTATATAATGGGTTAATATAAGCATATTAGTGGTCATGCATTTTGTATGAACAATTTCGGCTTTCACACATTCTTTTCGAATTATGTCTCCGCGATAAAAGTCAAACATGCAACATCCTCTCTGGTTTTGCATGTTCTTGGTCATGCTGTCAGTGATGTGTTTTTGAGCTATTAAGTTGAACATTATTGTATCTTTGGTCATGCACTTGATCACTCAATAGAGCTAAAAAAGAAAAAAGACCAGCATAAAAGGGAGGGAGAAAGAGAAAGAAGCCATTAGGGGAGACTGCTTGTTGTGAATAGATTCCTTTGTGCTTTATCTTGCTTTACTTTATATAATTTGTGAGCTAATTTAAAAGATCTCCTTCCCTTGATATTTTAAAAGTTCAATACTTTTACAGCTAAATGTGATGGCCTATTATTCATAAGAAAAAATAAATGTGATGGCCTATTATTCATAAGAAAAAATATAAGCGGATTTATATGAACGAATGCAGTCTTAAACCTCATCCACACCTGAAAAATATTAACTGAATTTTCTCTCTATGACATATTCATCCAGGGAGCATGCTATAATTTTCTTTTTCCATTTGGAATTCGCAAAAGCTGAAAGGGTTTTAAGAGTTGTTATGGCTGAGCTCTATGGACTTGAAAAATGTGAATGTTTATCTGACTAATTTATTTATTCGCGAAAGAAAAGAGAGTAGATGCAAATTATGATGTTTTAGATGCTGGAAGTTGAGAGATTTTCTTTCATTTATAAAGAAGAATTAAATGCTAACATTCTAGATGCTTAGGTTATGGAGTTTTAAATTGATTTGTTGATCTATGTTTGTAGTTTATAAAAGTTTCTCATATAGTGAACGTTCTAAAACGATGCAGGAATTGCTGGGAGCAGATTTAAGGAATATGAAAGGACAAGTACTGACATCCACCTCTGGTATGAGGCAGCCTACTCGGAAACAACTCCGAGAGACGAGCTTAAGTGATTCTAAGAGTACTGAAGCATCAACTGGTCTGTCTGTGGGTGACTGCGATGCTGTTGATTCTTCCCCCCTGCATCCCACTTCAAAGGCCACTGAGGTAACAAGTGGAAACTTCATCTTTTTAATCTCACACAAAAGCATGCACGAGTGGGCACACGAAGGCTCCAACACATCAGCACATATGGATGACCCCACTGATGTAGAGACAATACATCACAATTTTGCTAGATCATTTCTATAGATGGTAGCTTGTGCACACCTCGACTTGACTGTTCCACACCTCACTAGTATAAGTATCGAGTAATTTTGTTTACCAAGGCTTAGGTAGAGATTTGAACCCTGGTTTCCATGGTTTACACCCATAAATGCCACTTTAGCCAAATTCGGGCCACAGTTTGCTTGTATCACTTTTAAATCTAGCCGTACGAGAATTTAGTAGAAATATACACATAGAGTTAGCTTTCTTTTAAGATGAAGTTGGTACATATGCTGAAATGTTTAGTGTCATTTTATGTTGTCTTTTGACCATTGTTTTAGCAGGCTATGGATTATACACGACACCCTTCGGCTGCATCTTCCACTTTGGTTGAATTAACAACACGTTTAGACTTCTTCAAGGAAAGACGCTCTCAGCTGATGGAACAACTCCATAACCTTGACCTAAACTATGGATCAACATCTCATCAACCTATGTACAAACCTTCATCTCCTCCATGGAATTAATTGCAAAACGGAAGCTGCAACGCTCCCATCATCTGTATATCCTTTGTGTATTATAGCGTATAGGTTTCTCCCGTACTGTATACTTCGAGGTATCGTTATTGTACTCATCTCTGTCCTTTCTTTTTTGGTTGTATTGTTGTTATCTGTGTCTTGTTAGTGATCTCATTGATTCTGAAATTCATACTGTAACATAATAAAAATGTATATTATTGTGTTGTCTAATAGACAAAGCACCTTTGCTGTGTGCAGTTGAAAATTTTTCATGTATATTTGTTGTTAGTAATTTTGTCGAGGTTGTGATTGGTCTAAAGGCGGATCACAGACAGATTTCTCGGTTTTCAAAAAAAGAGAAGTTTGGAACTTAGATTATTGTGTCATAAAACCAATGGAACCACAAAAATTGAGCTAAAATAATTTTTTTTTATGTTGGAGGTCTAAGTTCGAACCCTCTTGCCAGCGAAAGCAAGGGGTTAGCCTTGTGGGTCGAGCCTGATGCGGGTTACCTCTCCTATGTGGTTGTGAGCTATTGCATAGGAGCGGGAGTTTATTTTGTGCGCACTCAAAGGGTAGCGGCTGCGGGTTTTTCTTGTCGTAAAAAAAACACTCTTTTCATACATATTTTGAAAATTCATGAATTTATACACACGAAAATTAAGATAATCTTAAATTTCTATTTTTTTGTGATACAAACTTGAAAAAATGACTGTTATAGTTGGTTACGCTATATTCATGGGTTTGTATACACGAAAAGTTTAAAATAATTTTCATTTTTTTATTTGGCATACAAACTCCAAAATGGATTTTAAAAACAATTGAGTATGATTTGATAGGCCATAATAATGAGCACATAAAATTTGGGTTCAAATAGAGTCGATCACATATATTTTAGAAAACATATGGTCTTAATGCACACTAATAATCAAAGACAATTATGTGATACATAAAGTCTTAAAAAGTATTTTGCTTTATCGTCACGAATGTATCCACAAAATTTAAGCTCAAATAAAATTGGTCATATACATTACAAAAAATTGAGATAATCTTAGTATTTCGAAAATAATAAGTATTCATTTAATGAGTCCTTATCAATGGACCAACAATATTTAAGAACAAACAGAGACGATTACTCGCATTTGAGAAAATTCATGCTCTAATACACAAAAATGTGAAACAATTCTAAAGTCCTGATTCATAACATAAATTCTAAAAAAGCGGGATGCGTCTTTTGAGGTTATGCACAAACTTTAAGTTCAAACAAAATCGATCACATATTTCTAAAAAAATCATAAATTAATACATAAAAAAATTTGAGATAATTCCTAATTCCTAATTCGTGATAGGATAGTTATTACTCCCTCCGTTTAAAAAAAATAACCTCCTTTACATTTTAGTCTGTTTAAAAAAAATGACTTTTTTTAGTAACATTTTAACTTTAACTTTCTATGTGACATGTTTAAGGTCACAAGATTAAAAAATAATTTTGTATATGTGATAATTTTAATTTAAAACCATAAGATTTAAAAGTCATCTTTATTTACTTAAACTCCGTGCCAAGTCAAACCAGATCATTTTTTATAAACGGAGGGAGTTGAAAGTGTATTGAAGTGTGTGCCATATAGAATGTTCTACTCTTACACAAATATAATGTATTTTTTATTAACACATACATACACAAACTATAACTACTATATTTTGTAAATAATTCAGGTTGAATGGACAACTATACCTATCAACTTTAAATATATATATATAAGTAAGACATATATTTTATCTGACATAGTACATAAGACAACAAAATTGTCATATAGTATATATATGTCTTTGTTTAATTTTATACAAATTCAAGTATTTATTTGTGCAAAATTAAAATCAAAGGTTATAGTTATCGATTGTCGTAAAATTAATACTCTCTTCGACCCTTTTTACTTGTTCACTTTTGAATTGACACACCTATTTAGAAAATAATTAATGGCGTAGTGAGTTTACCATTTTACCCCTATTAATTATGAAATGAATGAAAAGTTTTACATTTTTCAAAGTAATTAGTCATTTAATTTAGGTATAATAGGTAAAAAAAGAGAAAATGACAAACATATCCCTGAACTATCATAATTGGTATGCAGATATACTCCGTCATACGTTTGGGATATTGATGCCCTTGCCGTTCAAAAACTAGAGTATATATGCCCTTCGCTCTAACAGAAGATTAAATAGTGACATGTGATACAATCTTATTCATCGATCCGATGTCGGATCAATGGATAAGAACCATGACACGTGTATGTCCGTTAGTATAAAGGTATATATGTTCTAATTTTTGGACGACAGAGACACTATGTTCCGAAAGTATGACAGAGGAGGTATCTGCATACTATTTACGATAGTTCGGATATATTTATTCTTTTTCTCTTAAAAAATTATTTTTTGTTGATTTGTCAAAATAGACGAGTAATTAGGGTGGAAGAGAGTACAAAACTATTTGCTATATTTTGTAAATAGAAGTCAAATTATTGTATTTATGAAAATTTTCCTTTACAAAGTCATTGGGTAGAACAAGTGTCAAACAAGTAGAAGCTTCAAAATCTCATCTGAGCGTCACATGTTCCCATAATCACGCCAACAAATTCCAACCAAAGAAATACTCAAAAACAAAAACCCCTTTTTTCCTTTTCTCTCTGTACAGATGAACTCATTTTTGTGCTAAATCAATGAAGATTTATAGGTACTATTCTCTCTGTGATTCTTGATTTCCTTAAATTCCTCTTTTGGGTATTCATATTGTAAAGTTTCTTGCTTTATGGTTTTACTGTTCAGTTTCACTGCAAATTATGTGTCTTTACAGTAAATGGTATTCAAGTTCTGTGTCTTTTATGTTGTGTTATTGAATTTGTGTGTTGTTTTTGGGATGTGGGTTTTACTGATTTTTTATTGGCGGTGAGGGCGGTGAGTAGTGGGAGAGAAGGAGAAGAAGAGAAATGCAAAAAAAAGCCTTTTTTTTGGGTACTAAAATTGTAAAGTTTCTTGTTTTTATGGTTTACTGTTCAGTTTCACTGCAGATTATGTGTCTTTATTGTAAATGGTATTCAAGTTTTATGTTGTGTTATTGAATTTGTATGTTGTTTTTGGGATGTGGGTTTTACTGATTTTTGATTGGTGGTGAGGCGGTGAGTAGTGGAAAAGAAGGAGAGGAGGAGAAGTGGGAAAAAGACACCTTCTTTTGGGTATTAAAATTGTGAAGTTTCTTGTTTTATGGTTTACTGTTCAGTTTCACTGCAAATTATGTGTCTTCATAGTAAATGGTATTCAACTTTTGTGTTTTTTATGTTGTGTTATTGAATTTGTATGTTGTTTTTGGGTTGTGGGTTTTACTGATTTTTGATTGGCGGTGAGGCGGTGGGTACTGGGAGAAGAGGAAGAGGAGGGAAATGGGAAAAATAACCTTCTTTTGGGTATTAAAATTGTGAAGTTTCTTGTTTTATGGTTTACTATTCAGTTTCTCTGCAAATTATGTGTCTTTATAGTGAATGATATTCAACTTTTGTGTCTTTTATGTTGTGTTATTGAATTTGTATGTTGTTTTTGGGATATGGTTTATACTGATTCTTGATTGGCGTTGAGGCGGTGGGTACTGGGAGAAGAGGAGGAGGAGGGAAATGGTAAAAAGAAACCTTCTTTTGGGTATGAAAATTGTGAAGTTTCTTGTTTTATGGTTTATTATTCAGTTTCACTGCAAATTCTGTGTCTTTATAGTGATGGTATTCAACTTTTATGTCTTTTTTTGTGTTGTGTTATAGAATTTGTATGTTATTTTGGGATGTGGGTTTTACTGATTCTTGATTGGCGGTGAGTACTGGGAGAGGAGGAGGAGGGAAATGGAAAAAAGAAACCTTTTTTCTTAAACAAATTTAGATTATGGAAATATAAGAACATAAGACCCATATAGGCAAATTTTGTTTGTCCTGTACTAGCATCTTCAAGCTAAGTTCAGAGGCGGAGCCAATCCGAACCCATTCGGAAGAAAATTATGTTGTTTATCTATGCTTTTCGGACTCTTCAAAAATGTTGACGCGTGCATGTCGGATAATCCAAAAGTAGTGGTACTACTTGTGTAAATTTCTCAAAGTATAGCCAGTTAGAAGCCTGGATAAAAGATAAGGGTTGCGGTACTAGTATAATAAATAACCTAATTGTGATGATCCTGTAAAAGGTGAATACATCAGATGTAACCACTTAAGCAGCAAAGTGGAATGGATATGGAGGATTCTCTTTTACCTGTAAGTAGAACAGAAATGGAGTATTCATATTCCTATCCCAAGCAATTTGGGATTTAAGCCTAGTTGATCGTCTAGTCATTTGACTTGTGAGGAAGTATGTTTTTTTTTCTTGAATAACCAAGAAAATCGTTGCACCTAGATTTGAAACTCGGTGGATAATTGATCTTCCACTTAATCATTGTCCACTTAAAATACACACTAATGAACGGGGGAGATTCAAAGTCGTAAACTCGTGACATGCATGTACCACACAACTCGTGCGGTTTGATCATGTTATTGAATCAATTCCGTAGAGCGCTAGCAAGAAGTAAGTTCTTAAGAAGGTTGAAGTCCTAACCTAGGAGAAGGCATCAAGTCTCACAGCAATAACTCTTATATTTCTTTATGTCACTAAAAATGTATCAACCAGATGGAGATGGTGAAGATTCTACTGCGTTATCTATAATCAGATGCATCCAGTCAGAGGGAACATCATTTGCTTACTTTGTAGCATAAGCTTCACAGTGCAAAAGCAAGTAGTTGAGAAAAAAAAAAGTAATTTGGTCTTCTCATTACGATGGATTGTTTTCTCACTAGATGTACAGTGTGAAAGCAAGATGTTGAGTCTTCTCATTAGTCATTACGAATACATTATTTTCTCACTAGATGTACATAGCGAGAAATGTTGAAGAGAAGCCTATGTAAGAATTGGATTTCTTGAGGGACTCTATTCGTCTGAATAGCTATTGAGTTAATCTTTCCTCATCCACATGGAAAATGGTGTAATAATGTGTGAAATAAAAGACGAGTCGCTGTGATTGGTCCAAAGGGCGTGTCATAGACGGATTTCTCGGTTATTGAAAAAATAAAAAAAATGAGTCTTTGAAGTTTCTCAGTGTCCTAGAATGAGGACTACATTTATTTTTCTTTTTGCATATCTCCAACTAGTAGTTATTTGATCATGTAAAGGCCTCCCAAAGTCTGATGGCAGCGTAACTTTGTTGCTAAGTTCCAGCTTAAACTTATTGGCTTTAATCTCATATTCTTTGCCACACATCTTGTTATTTATTCTATAGGATGACCAGATTATCTTTTATCTTCCTACTTTCCTGGCAGACAGAATCATCTAGTTGGTGTCCCTATTTTACTGTTCTTCATAACAGAAAAATCTCTGGGAGACGAGCTTTAGAAATCACCAGGGACCAAGTAGTGGGGATCTTACCCTACAATGCCCCATTTCTTACTAAGATTATGAGGGTGTTTGGATTGACTTATTTTTAGGTGTTTTTGGCTTTTAAGCACTTCTTAATTTTTAGAGGTGTTTGACAAAGACACGAAGTGCTTAAAAGCACTTTACTTTAGGCTTAAAAAGTAAAAAAAAAAAAGTCAAATGTCAAAAGTAGGTAGCTACCTACTTTTGGCTTTTGACTTTTTTAAAGTCACTTAAAAAAGCTTATCCAAACACCCCCTATATCCCTTTCTACATGAATGTGCGATTTGAATATTTGTGAGATCCGCACTCCCACGTGTTAATAACTTTCATAGGCTAACATTTCTCTATACCTTACCTAGAAAAGATGACTTAGGCAAAATCTCCATCTCTCCGGAGCTGAAATCCGCTGGTGGTTACTCACGTTATGCCTGTGCCCCTCCTCCCCCCTACAGGTCTTGTTTTTTTTGACTGGTTACTGATTGCCAATGAATTAGGTGTCATTTGAACTCGGTTTCTGACCTCCTAATTTTGTGCACTCTCTTCTTCCGAAGAAACTGACATTTAAACGGTTGTATTCTGTTCCGCAGGAAGGTATATTTTTACTCTGTATATGTGCTGTGTGCAAAACTGCTAATGCTATGATAGTGTGATTTTAATGCACACAATATAGATAAATTGTCTACGATGAAATGGACTGTACTAGTTATCTAATGCTCATTGGTCAACGCAATGGCAAAATCTTCTCTATACTAGTCTGCTAGAAGGAGACAAATGATATGTTACTAAAATAGTTACAATCTTCACTCTCCAACCAAAGAGATAAAAGGAAGAAAGACGAAAACATGGTCTCTTTTCCATATGAACAGGAACAACCTCCCCTTTTTATCAACTCGTTGACTATATATTGTCTTCTAGTTTGTTATTATAGCTGGTAATTAGCAACCAGGTTCATTTTTTTTTGTCTTTTGAACCTCTTATACTGTTTTGTTACGTGTTACTTGAGCCCGGGGGGGGGGGTCTCTTGGAAACAGCCTCGATATCTCCACAAGGTAGGGGCAAGGTTTGCATACATTCTATCCTCCCAAACCCCACTTTCTTTTTGAAAATTGTAACTAAAAATTATCGCTGCATTTGATGCAATCATGTGTGGATATAGGTCCTCTTGTACAAGTTCTGGTGGCTGAAGTTGCGTAATCGGCTGTGGCTTCCATCATCTAGCAATGGATTTTTCATTTTTCGGTAATTTCCCGTGGTTCAAACCCCATTCTGCAAATGATATGGCATCAACAGTTGCATCTACTAGCACCCTAATGCAAACACCTAAACAAAATGCTCAGTTTTGGAAATGGACTGTGTTTTCATTTCTTCCTTGGGCTAAAGTAGCCGAGGGTAATATTCAAATGCCAACAACTGTCAACAAGAAACTGAAACGACGTCCGTCTCGTGAAGGTGTAGACTCTCTAGCTCGAAAGTCAGCCATACGCTTCAGACCATATGTTTCTAAAGTTCCATGGCATACAGGTCCACGAGCTTTTCTTTCTCAACTTTTCCCTCGATATGGTCATTACTGTGGACCAAACTGGTCAAGTGGAAAAGATGGAGGGTCACCAATTTGGGACAGAAGACCGATTGATTGGTTGGATTTTTGCTGCTATTGTCACGACATGGGCTACGATTCTCATGATCAGGCTGAACTTCTCAAAGCAGACCTTGCATTCCTCGAGTGCTTGGAGAAGCCAAACATGAGTACGCGAGGAGATCCTCATGTAGCTCTACTTTACAAGACTATGTGCACATCAGGTACAATAAACCGCTTCATAAAACCATTCTGTATCTACGTTGTTCTCAACTATCGATGACTGATTTGGCAACTCGAGTTGTTCTCAATGCAGGCCTTAGGAACATATTGATACCTTACAGACAACAACTCATTACCTTACAATCTAAGCAACTGTGTTTTGGATTTGGATGGCTCGGCGGTATCATGGAACCTGCAAAATGCTTGAAAGATCGTTTCGTATGGTTACAGAAGTAGGTATGTGAACAATTCCCGCGCTTTCGTTATGGTGCAGAACAAGACATTTCTGGCAAGTCTATTTCCATAATGTCTTAAGATAAGATAGATGTATATATGATATTGGAAATGAATGGAACTGTAGAACTCCATTATGGTATAACTAGTTGTGCAGTTATTCCACTGTTTGTATATTATTATCAGTAAACTTTGGATCAAGTGTAAATTATTTGCTATTTTATAGTTTACAATGTTTGGATCCAGTGTTTTTTTTTTTGAAAAAATTAGACTTGTGGGCAAATCATATACTAGATTAAAAAATTAGGATAAAAGTCTGGAATATATTCAAACTTTGATCGAAATTGCTGTTACGATAGTGTTATTTTTTGTAGTTATGTAATATGTTTGATGTTCACGTGGAGACATATGTATCTTTAAAATACGCTATTTAATAGTTCAGGGATGTCTTCTATAAAGCTTGATATCGTAACAATAATTTCGATTAAAATTTGAAGTATTTTTTAAACTCTTTTTTCAAACAACCAAAAACATAGTAGGTATGATATAGTTTTATTGAATTTATAATCATCAATACTGATCATAATTAGTCATAAGTTAATCATCATTACAAAAATAATTATCAATCACCACCATCATAACCATTATTAATCCCTCTGTCTGATATTATTTGTCATAATTTTTATTTTTAGAGTCAAATTATAAAAAATTTGACTAATATTTTAAGATATATTTTTCATCATATTAATATATAAAAAATTGTTATTTATAGTACTTTTCATATAGTTTTAGAATATTTAATTTTTTGTTTAAAATATCGAATTAATGTGATCTAATTTACATTTGAAAATTAGTTAAATTGACTTTCGATAACAAACAATTTCGGACAAAGAGAGTGTTATTCACCGGCATCATTAACTATCATTATCATCTATTATAACCGCTAGTTATTACTCACATTCCACGTAGTAAATATTATTTATAATTGGCTTTTACAATCATCACTGGTATCACTTCCACGAATCCACAGTATAATCTTTAAAAAATATTTTGTTGATTTTAAGTATTAATTATTTATAATTTTTTAATTAAAATAAAATTTATATATTCAAGTATAATCTTAATTATTTAATAGTTTAAATCTTAATTAATACAATATTTTAACAATTTAAATGTGTATTTAAATTTTAATGAAGTTCTTTTATTCCAAATAATTCTAATCTATCCTACATGAAATACCAAGAGAGAAAATATTATTTCTTTGACTACAATTTCTTTATATTTTCTTAAGCATTTTGATTAATAAGTTTTTGAATTATTACAAAAAAAAATGTGTGGTTTTTGTCCCTTCTTGATTGTGTAATAAATCTTGTCTCTATTATAGATTTATTTAAAAGAAAAAAAATACACATAGGCGGTTAAAAAAGATCGATAGATTAAATTGAAAAAAGTATTGTTAATTTATTATTGTTATTATTATTATTATATTATTGGATTAATTATTTTAATGACTTTATTTTTAAAAATAGTTGGATTATCGATTTGATTTTGATTGCTTAAATGTTATGTTATAAATTGATAACTCATTAATACTATAATAGTTTACTACTTTACTTGTACATAAGTATTAAATATTAATCTCACATTATTATTTACTAGTTATTGTCTTTATCTTTTTAGCGTTGAAGTGACTTTAAGTTCACAAAGTCACATCATACAAATTGTCGATACTTAAAAGTAAGAATCATATTCCTCTTAATTTCTTTTTGTGTTGCACTTGTATATTTCTTTTCATTTTAATTAATATCATTTTTTTTATATAATGAGAAGTTGTAAAGCTACATTATTGTTTTTTCACATAAAACTATTGGAGAAGCCATATATTTGTTTTATAAGTATTTTTTATTAATTAGATCGAAAATCAATCTGCTAAATATCAAAACCGACAAATCGATAAAGAAAATCTTATTGATTTAGCATAATTAAAAACTGATAAACCAAATCGATAATACATAAAATCAAATCGAACTGATCAATTCACACCCTTACTTTTCACCTCTAAAAAATTTGGTCAAATAATCTATATGTATTTTTCTAAAATATAATACTTTGGGTTTTTTTTTAATTTATGAAAAATAACTTCTACTACTCCCTTAAAACATTTATTTGCTATGAAAAAATTTGATCAAAACACCTAATTCTTTTTTAAAATACTCATTTTTTTTAAAAAAATAAAATATGTTTAACCTTTCAAAAATTTGATCAAACACATCAAAAGAGTATATTATTCTAAATATAAAACTTGCAAAAATGCCATTTCTCCATTCTTTGGTAAGATGCAAGCAATGGCAACCTCCATATGCTCTTTGATGTCACAATAACATTATATTACCCCAAAAAAATGAATTGACATCATGTGCACTATGTAAAGATTCATGTGAGCTTTTCCCCAATAACAATAGACATGCTAATTTTAACTGGGAGCCCGACTAATTCAGATTCATGTCGCGTAAGATTCATTTCAGAGAAATGTTTTTTATCAGAAAAGCTTTTCATATTTGTAATTTGATATGAAGACTTCTAATTAAAAGAACAGTAATCTCATCTTCTGCACCTTATCGATTAATTCTGGTATAAAATATAGTTTTTTTGTTGTTGAATTTGACATAGGAAGATAATTTTTAGAATTGCCACATTTTTAAATGCATATGCCCATCCTTTGCTGAAAAAACTTGAATCTCCCTAATTATTATCACTAGGTCATACCACTCCCTTTTAATTTCCTCTACATTGACCTAATATATATATATATATTGTCAAGTTTAGTCAATCTACGTGTTGAGGAGACTCACGTCAGATAATAAAATATAAGTGGTCCTTTTATATAATTTTGAATAGTCCCTGCGACCTCATAAACTAACTTAATTATTTCGTTTCTTTACATGATATTAGAACATAGCTCATTAGTGTTTCTATTAGCTAATGTTTGGTGCTCGTATTGAATTTCCCACGTATCAATTATTCAGCTCTAGACGTAAGGTCAAATATTGAAAAGTCTCACACCAGATGAATTTTTTTTTTTTAGTAATCTCTTTATATGACCTTCAACAATCATCCTCTTATATATGTAAACTAAACATTTTCAAATTGACTTACATTCAAAACACAATTCTATACGCTACGTGTTTCAAATAATTATAATGGAGTAAATAAAAAAAAATTACCTCCTTGATCAAAATTTCCTTCATTTTTTTTGAATTTTAAATACCGTTCAAAGTCAGAACATCGCTATCATATCCACCAGCAACGCCTTTAACCCGATAGACAAACAACACCATATCTTGATCCATCCATAGCAAACAAACCAAGGAAAAATCGAGTAAATAACTTTATCGATCGTTTTAAACTAACGACTCAAAGCAAAAATCAAATTTTATCCTCTTTTTTTTCTAAACTGATGAATTAACGACCCACCAATAATTATAAAAATATTACATCTATATTATATCCATATACCACACTATTTATAGTGAGATATTTTGTTTACACTCCAAAATTCCCCAAATTCACACTCACAAAATGTCACCCAAATCCAAATCGCCGGCGACGAACACCGTCGCCGTCGGACTACTCATTCTCGTAATTTTACTATCAAACCACCACCGTAACTGCACTGCTGCTGGTAGCAGCAGCAGCAGTCCGATAAAAACAGTGGTGGTTTTGGTAATGGAGAACAGATCGTTCGACCATATGTTAGGTTGGATGAAGAAGATGAATCCAGAAATCAATGGCGTCGATGGGTCGGAATCGAATCCGATTTCGACATCGGATCCGAATTCCCGTCGAATTTTCTTCGGAGATCAATCACATTACGTTGATCCTGATCCAGGACATTCATTTCAAGCTATACGTGAACAGATTTTCGGATCAAATCAAAGTTCGAAAAAATTAGCTCCGATGAATGGATTTGTTCAACAAGCTCTTTCAATGGATACTAATATGCCTGAACAAGTCATGAATGGTTTTCAGCCTCAAATGGTAAGTATCCGTTGCTCGAATTCTTCGAAAATATATACTTACCGGACTGCATTTTCGGAGAATTCGATACGATACGATGCAGTAATATTTTTGAAGAGTTTTTGAGTAGCATAGTTCACTACTACTCTTACTACAATTTTTTTAAAAAAATTGGTTAATTTCGAAATTATTTTAAAGTTTAAAAAGTTCGAAATTCGAAATTATAGAATAAATTGTTAAATTTTTGAAGTATTTATAGGGAAGTATAATTACGAATAATTATTCTATATCCTCAAATAATTAAAATGACTCCTTTCTTTTTTTATGATTATATTATATTGTATTGTTTTAGTGAATGACGCAGTCTGAATTAGGTAAAATAGATTCCAAATTTATTGTGTTATATATATTATTTTAATCATATATAAACGGTATAATTTTTGGGTTAATAAATATTTTGTATTTGTTTACCAAATATGTATCACACAATTGTTTTGTATTGTTTTCTATGACTAACTAAATACTTTTTTCGTTTTAATTTTATAGTATAGTTCAAATTTTAAAAATGAAATCGTTATTTTGGACATAAAATCTTTTTAAAAAGTTTATATATTTGAAAAACTTCTATAATGCATGTGCCTTTTTTTTTTATGAAAGGCACGAATTAAACTCGTTATCTTCTGATCACATGATAATGAATTACGTCAAAATTATTAAGTGGTGTTGTTGTTTCAGGTGTCAGTATATAAAACTCTAGTATCGGAATTTGCGGTGTTCGACCGGTGGTTTGCGTCGGTGCCAGCGTCGACTCAGCCGAATCGACTCTACGTTCACTCCGGCACATCTCACGGCGCCACCTCTAACATCGCGGAGCTGTTAGCTAAAGGTTACCCACAGAGAACGATTTTCGAGAATCTCGACGACGCCGGAGTAAATTTTGGAATCTATTATCAGAATATTCCCGCGACTCTGTTTTACCTGAATTTGAGAAAGCTTAAGTACATCGGAAAATTTCATCCTTATGATCTCACATTCAAAAGTGATGCTAAATCAGGAAAACTACCAGGTATGAATGCTAGAAGTTCGTATTTTAATTTATGTGATGATTTTCGTTTTTTTTCTTTTCGAGATATGTTTAAAAATATTGATTAAAATAGATAACTTTCACATATAGTCACTCAAAAATAGTCTAATTACTTTTCACAGCTTTAGTTTGATAATTACAATT